GGAGAAAAGAAAACATGTTTAGAACTCTACTCTTTCCCCGTGTGTCATGTCAATCCCCTTTCAACAACGTTGTATTGAACGAAGACGGGATTCTGTTGCTGTTTCCATCCGCTTGCCTCGGGAAGGAGAAATGCACCCACTCAATTCTGTCTGTCTGTCTCTCTCTCTGTCTCTCTCTCTCTCTCTCTCTCTCTCTCTCTCTCTCTCTCTCTCTTTCTTTCTTTCTTTCTTTCTTCTTCCCTCTCTTTCTTTCTGTCTTTATTCATCTCGTTCTCTCTTCCTTTTTTTTCTTTCTCTCTTTCTTTCTTTTTTCCTCCTCTCTTTCTCTTCACTTATTTTTTTCTCTCTCGCTTTCCCTTTAATTTTCTTTCTCTCTCTGTCGCACATTCTGTCTCCTCCCCTCCCCTCCCTTCTCTCTCTTTCTCTCTCTCCCTCTCACTTTCTCTCTCTCCCTCTCTCTCTCTCTTTTCTCTCTCTCCTCTGTCTTTCCTCCCTCTCCTTGAAGTGCCGACTGTGGAAGAGACACCAGCGGTCATGACCCCTGCCCCCGCCTACTCCAGGGCTCTGTCATCTCCAGGAACGTCCCTAATATAAGGAACATGTCCACTTGTCCAAGAGCCGGGAGTTTTAAATAACTACAATATTGCTCTTGAGAGAGGAGAAGAGCCCCCGGCAGGCAGACAAATTGCACGAACAAGTCTAACACTTGATGATATATATCATTATTGTTTGTTTGTTTGTTTGTTTGTTTGTTTGTTTGTTTGTTTGTTTGTTTGTGTGTTTGTTTGAGTGAAGAGATCCACACCAATAAAGTAATAGTCATTTAATGCAAGAAAAAAGTTAAATAGACGGAATCGACCAAATGAAAGAAAAGAAGTAGGGCATTCTCGCATGGCCGTCCAACCATGCTTAGAAGAGAAAGGAAACACAAGAGCTGGGATTGAGGGAAGAAAAAATTGATAAAAGCCTGCACTGGGTATTACATTTTCGGTGAGAGAGAGAGAGAGAGAAAGTGAGAGAGAGAGAGAGAGAGAGAGAGAGAGAGAGAGAGAGAGAGAGAGAGAG